CTACGGTATGGAGACTATGCCGCCACCCTGCGAGAGCCCATCCCTGCCAACACGAGCAACTTCCCGAAGCTGTTCGACGCGCCGTCCACCCCGGAGAACATGGCGCTGCGCTCCGCCGAGAGCGACAGGCTGATCGAGAAGGCGGGCATCAGCGCGCGCGAGGCGCATACACTCACCCTTCGGTACTTCGACAGGGACCCCGCCACGGGCCCACCTGACTACTCAGAGGGAAGCTACGTGCTGCGAAACTATTACGGCTGTGTGCCTCCCTATGGCGATCCGAGGATGGACGCGCCAGCGCGCAAGGATGCGCCCTCGGACGCTCACGCGGAAGAAACCCCAGCTGCCTCGGATGCTGAGGGCGTTGCTCCTGCTTCTACGAAGGCTACCTTAGCGACTGTGGAGCCGGAAAAGGCGACCCCTGCAGCCAGCGCCATGGACGTAGATGCTGATACCACCGCTGCTACTCCATCTCCCGCTCTGAGCGAGAAGGCAGCAGGAAATAAGCGCTCACGCGACGAGGACGAGGAGCCTCTCGCATCAGAAGAGCAGCAGCCGACGAAACGCGCCCGCGTAGAGAACGAGGAACCCGCTCCCGCCGAGGGGTCGACCCGGCCCAAGGTGATCATCCCTCGCACGCGATGGACCGAAGAGATCGAGTTCTACGAGTCGGATTACGCCCGCAGGTACTCCTCGACCTGCTTCCTGCACAAGGAACCCCCAATGCAAAAGGAGCGTAGGGAATACGGCAAGAAGATCACTATGATGGTCTTGGAGGCCAAACGCCGTACTGGACAGCTTTGATCAGATGTTTCCCCTGTCCAGTACATCCTATCATCTTTCATCTTGTTTGACATCTTTTCGGGCTTTCGGACTCATCTCTCTTACAGCTTTTATGCATACCTTTACATCGCGCTAGCGAGGGCTACCCAGTTCCATACCATTATATCATATGACGGCAGCTCTCTGACCGTTCACACTTTGCTTGTTTCTGTACATTTAGCGATCCCAATAGAGTAGACAATTGATCACCGGTATACTGTGGAAGCTGCTCTGCAACGGTACTTAGTCGAAGGACAAATCCGAGTGTCTGGACTGTGTCTGGATTTCCAGCGAACACGTGGCGCTAGGTGCATACTCAAAGCGCGTCTCGACAAGTTGCGTCGACAACCCTCGTCAGTTCCTGCACTCCACGATGACCCAAAGGTACGTTGTCTTGCAAAGACACACCCATCCACCCTCAAACCTCCCAAAGATACCGCCCCTCATCACAAAACTCCCTCCGCGACCGCGCTGCGCTCGGCATCCCCGACACCTTCACGCCACCACAGTCCGGGCGCTCCTCCCCGTTCGCAGACAACCCCTACGGCGGGCCCAGCGGGTACCGCTACGCCGACGACCTCGAGGGGCAGAACGACGACGCGCTGGAGGGGCTGAGCGCGAAGGTGAAGATGCTGAAGGATGTGCGTGAGTCCCCCGGCTCGTCCTGTGAGTAGAAATCTCATGCGCATGGCATGCAGATCACCATTGGCATTGGGAACGAGGTCCGCGACTCGACGATCCAGCTCAGTCAAATGGTGCGTGTCATGTGCTATGGCCGTCGAGTCTGTTCTCACAGAGGTATATCGTAGAACGACGCATTCGCGGAGACGTCGGGCATCCTGGGTGGTACCTTCCGTCGCATGAACAACATGGCGGCACGGCAGGGCTGTCGCTGGTTGTGGTACATCATTTTTCTCATGATTGTCTTCTGGTTCTTCATCGTGGTATGGTGGTTTCGACGTTGACGCCGGGGGTGCACCAGTCTCTTCATTATTTGTTCATAATATCTTCCGCTGTCTTGCTTCTTCGGTTGGCTCATCGTCTTCAAGTCACGCTCGCACCCAAATCATTAGCATCTGCACTGCACGCCCCAGCAGCAACGCCCCCAGCTCCAATTAGTGCACAGTCGTCGGTAAGTATAAGGAAATACAGAATAAACATCGCAACTCTATCAAGAAAGGTCGTCCAAACAGGCGTCCAACGCTCTAAGGCTATGACTCGTCTCGGAATGTAGTATGTGCAATTTCCCAGATCATCCGCCGCCGCAAGTAGTTCATGTCGCGTTGCGAGAAGTTGAACGTCTCCTGACCTCGCGACAGAGACTCCAAGAATTGGCAGGTGAAGACGCCGCAGTCCCAGCCGTTTTCCTGCTGTGGGGTATCCTACAGGTGCAAGCTGTGGTCAGCATTGCTCGCACGAATAGATGATATGGCATACATCTGGTGCGTAGTTGATCCATCCGGTGAAGTCAAATGGCGTCTTCTTTTTATTTCGGTGTTCGCAGTCTAGGTATTCACGCAAGTGCTGCAGCAGAGGTTGAGAAAGAAGTACACAGTGCGAACATTCGCAAGACTCGCCTTGAACACGACCTCACGGGCCATACCCATGCTATCGTAGGACTCGATCCGTTTCCGGCGAAAGTTGATCGCAGCACCCGTCCAATGTGAGTTGTTGTGGTTGATGGGTATCAGGATCGCGTCCTTGGAAAAGATGTCGAACTATGTGCATACCGTCGGTGAGGAGTGCAGATGAGATGATGGCAAGTAATCCCGACCTTTTTTGTCCATTTCGCTAGACGAGCCTTCTCGTATCCTTCCCCAATTAATTTCGACCAGAAGAAGGTGCTGAAATAGTGTATATCCAGCACACGGTCTTTCGGCGCACGGGCTCCTCCCTTCTTGAGACCATTGACTGCACCGTTGATGCTGACGCCATTGACAGCCTTGGACTGTCCAAGGGCCTTGGCCGCTTCCTCCGAGCGTGTCAAGATCATTTGACCGTAAAAGTTGATGATCTCATCGTTCAGCCATTGATGCGGTCGCAGGCGGGCGATGTCCTTGTCTGTGACTTGCTCACGAGCAATCTTCGAGATGAGGCCGCGTTTGGACAATAGCTGCGCAACCTCAGCATCGTCGGCTGGGGGTAAAGATTCAGGCAACGGTTGAGGTCCATGTAGCCTTCGTTCGATCTCTTCGTTTTTCTCACGGATCATCCGCTGTTCGGGCGTGGGCACGAATGGTCGGATCGGTTTGGGACTAATGTTCCTGGATTAATGGGTGAACTGCTGGACTGAGAAGGGAATGCGGACCTATTGAGTGTATCTCGTGCTATTTTGAGAGCACGTTCGAAGAACTGGTCGCTGGGTCCCTGTTGAGACGAAGATTAATCCAGTATGCGAGACGTCCGGGAGGAGACGCACATCTCCAAATGAGCGTCGTCTGCTTTCGCCGGACGCTTGGTCCTGTGCTTTCGGGCGCAGATCTGTAAGTGACCGGGAGCCTACGGAGTAACGTCAGTTGTGATTCTGGCTAGTGTCCCGCCTGCTTCACGTACTTGATAGTAACTCTTGACTCTCAAGCAGCTCTCTATAGCTCATATATCCTGGTCGTCTCGTCAGCATCATAGCACTCTTCACACTGAACTCACATACCTTTGAACGTCTTGAAGTCAGATGTGTAACCTAGACATCGCGATGAGTAACCCTAGGCCGACGAGTGCAACCACCCTTGCCTTTAGCACGTTTGATGGCGAATAATTCTTTTTGCATCGTTATTCGGTCCTGCTTTCTAACATCCCGTACTTTTGCCTGATGCTGAGAACAGGCACAAGACTCTGAGGGATACCAATTGCGTATGGGTGTATAAAAACTTACCACTTTGGCGTATATATGCTGCCGAGAGTGCTTCCCAATGGATTGGGCTGATGCACCTCGCCGACGTCTCTCTATCTGTGCTCGAGTCGCATCAACTTCGGCCCTAGTCGGCATCTGGCTCAACATGGGAGGAAAGGGCGTGAGCGACGGAGAAGATGATGTGGCCTTGGATGTAGGGGGTTTCGGGGGTGCGCTCAAACTGGCCTGCTTCGAAGGGCTGGGACGGCGAGGAGTGGGCACCGGAGGAAAATGGGGGGACGGTGGGGGAGCCATCGAGCGGAGGTAGGACACCCCCTCATCTGGGTTGGTTTTCCGCAGCCTGGCCTGTGGCGTCGTCGGAGAGAGGTGAGAGGACGTCGGTTTGGAGGGCGTAGCACGGAAAACGTCTGGTAGAGGAGAACGAGATGGAATAGTTCGTGTGGGTGTGTTCTTGGTCTTCGAAGGGCCTGCATCAGGCGCACTGGCGGAAGGCTCGGTGTCCTGACGGGAGCTTCGATGTGGATGTCGAGTCTTCGAAGTGTCCTCTCTGTGAGGTGCCGCAACACTGGTGGAAGTCGCAATGGTGGCGAAAGGGTCCGGTAGCGACTGGTTAGCTTTAGCTTTCGACGGCGAAGAGGTACGAGCTCGAGGCTTCGGTTTCGAGTGGTTGGGCGTAGGAGAAGTGGATGTATGAGTGGGAATATCCAAAGCGGACGGGTCGGACATTGAGGGACTGGTAGAGGGAGTTCGTTGGATGTCTTTGAAAAGGACTGCAAAGTCCGAAGAGGATCAAGCATGAATATGCCGGTGAGCGACCTGCGATTTGGAGAGGTTACTCACCTTCTCTGACCCCACGACCAATATCCAAAGCAAGTTGGCCTGCAAAACTAACCCAGCGGGCAAGTGTTCCTTCCGTTTGTGATGCACTGGAACCCTCGCCAAGTGGTCCAAAGTTGTTGGTCCGACGCTGCTTCGGAGCTCGGATGGGAAGAATACTTTCAGCGGTATCGGCTCTGCGCTTATGAGAGGGCATCGAGACTGGAAACAACGGAGCGGTGGGGCAGAACTTGAGATCGGTGATGGCTGCGCCGACGTCCTCTTGAACTCTTGCCTTGGAGCTGCCTGCAAGACACAGATGCAACGCGCGCGTCCTGGGGTGCAAAGGGCCTGATCTTAGAAAAGAGTAGATGGATCTGGGCGGTACTGACGAATATACGGGGTATGGAGAGAACAAGTCTTGAGACACGGTGGTCCGCGACGGGTCGCAGACGCGGAGGCCGTCAAACTCGGAAAGTTCCGTATTCGTGGTTCATGGAGAGAAAAAATATGCTCCCTGGCAGGCTCGAACTGTCGACCTCAGGATTACCTAAGCATTGCTTAGTCATACGTGTTGTATGAGACCTGCGCTCTACCAACTGAGCTAAGGAAGCCATTGTTCAAGTGTAAAGTATAGGAATGACAAAACCCATTGAACAGAGAAGGAGGCTCGGCGGAATGTCAGGAGGCGCGAGGGCTGGAAGGGCGGTGGGGAGGGACATGGCGGGGGCAAGGAAGGGGTGGAAGCCCTGCCATGGCCATCCGCACTATATGGGCTGGCGATGTTTGGCATTGTCGCTGGATACAAACTGGATACAAACAATGTTCCCTGTTCGGACCTGTCGGGTTGTCTGGCTTTGTTTCGTGATGTCGCGCGCGCAGCACGGATGGCACGCGCGAGTGGTAGTACTTGCGACGCTGTCCGAGGTACACTGGTACGCGGTGTTAATATACTTGTAGATACATATATAGGAACCAACTGGTGCACATCGAATGCCGTCGTGGGTCGGCGGCGTCGGTGTGGTCGCTGGGCGAGCAGCGTCAGGCTGCGCGAGGTCGGGCCGAGCGGGGCCGCTGTCGCGAGCGGTCGATCAACTGAGCCAAGCCAACGCAAGTACGCTCCTCAACTGAGCCAACGCTTCCCAACTGAGCCAACGCGTCCTTCGAGCCACCTTCTCCAAGCCCCTTGCAAGAGTAAGCCCGGTCGGCCTCTACAGGTACAACAGAATCACGTCGCGATACAGAAGGCAGTGTGCCACGGAGCCAAACACAGTAGATGGAAACACGACGTGCAATGGGTCCAGATTTTGAAGAGCCGCATAGCAAGAACATCCATTGCGCAACGTTTGAAGCGACTGGAGCCACGCCGAAGGATAGAGCATGGCTGATGATGACCGGGTCCGCGCAGATGTACGACAAACTCCTCTACTTCAACGGGTACTTCATCTTGTTTCCGCCGCAATGCGCAGAGCCCCAGGCTTAAAGTACCCGTTCATGTATCTGTAGGGCTTGACAAAGCCGAGAGACCATCACCCTGAGCGTGAGCTTCCTTGTTGTATCGGTATCGCTCTGTTCTGTAAGCAGCGCGGAGATACTGTTATAGTGTGACTCCTAGGCTTCAATGTGTAGTCGCGACGACCTGCTAGCCAGGGTCCCTGACTCGGCCTCCACGTTCCAAACAGTCGCTGCATGGTCACGTCCTTCAAAACTCATCGCAGTCAAACAACGAAGAGCACGCCCGACTCTCCAGACTACTTTGCAACCTAAGAGCATGTGTTTGCGGCGAAGATTTCGAGCCCGAACACACCGACCTGCGGCACCTATCACTGGCGGTTCGTGTTATGAGGTTTCAGACCACGAATTGCAGGGCACGAATTGAAGGGCCATGCACCACCGAGACTTACCTGAGCGCCTTCTGAGCATAGGGAACGCAATTTTGAGGACATAGGACCTCCGACAAGTCGCTCAGGTGTGAATGATCTTAGATTTTGCAATTGTTGTCGTATCACCACATATCCTGTTTTGCTTGTGTACAGTGTGAGTGAGTGCGGATCATGTAGGTACGTGAAGTATCGTGACGTGGGGACAGACATTATGATGGTGACCTAGGGGGTAGCGACGATGAGGCTGCTGCGCTTCGAGGAGGGGCGTTGTGGCAGAAAATGTAACAGTGGAAGGAGTCCAAACACGGCGATGCAAAGTACAACAACCTTGATAGCGACTGTCTCCTGCAGCCAGACGTACAGCACAATCTGTACGGCGAGACACACAACTGCTCCGTTGAGAGTGAGCACCCCTGCAATGAGAGAATTATTGTGAGCATATCCTGCGATGACGGCCCGGCATGCTCACAATGCCACATCAGCCATCGCCAAGACTTGCGGGCACCATAAACCTCCAGCAAACTCGCGGCACTGCTATCAAATGTCCCCTGCTTCACAGGATTTGACTTCCTAGAGGCACGGACAGGAAGCTCTCCAAACTCGTCGGTCAGGATGAGCGAGCTGATCGTCGCGCTGAGGCTGAAGAACAGGGCACTGTAAGTGAAGACGAGGAGCGCCTGCATCGCGGCGAAGCTGGGCGGATGCGTATAGCTTGAGGGCAGTTTTACAAATGTGAGGAGTTGAGCCTCCACTATGGCGAACAGTCCGGACTAATATGGAAAGACAACTCTGAGCATGCAGGTGATGTCCAGTTCCAGACAGTTCACCTACGACTATTGCAGCGCTTTGGCATGTAGCAAGCCAGCCATCGTTAAGGGACTTCACAGTCGGGGGAAGCTCATCTGCGACAGAACTGCAGTTAGATCAAGAGTGGCAAGAAAATCGGGCCACCCACATGCGACGTTGGTTCTCGGAAACGACATGCTGTATACCTTTTGCGGTCCAAAAGAAAGGAACCAAGAATGGCATGCCGGCCGTGAAGCTCGTGCTTATATACATCTCGGCGACTCCATTCAGGCTCCATTACGACACAAATTGTACCGAAACTCACAGGAGACCACAAGGACCGGAGCGTCTGCTTCAATCTAATCTCAACCAAAACCCGGTGCGACATCCGGCTAAAAAAACGAAGGGGTATATGATGAAACCGATATGGCCGCCGATATCCGCGACAAGATTGTACGAGGACATCCATTCGCCTGCCTCGAGGCTGAGCGCGGCCTGATGTATGAGCTCAATGCCTCGGTTAGTTTGAGACTGGCAGACAAGTCAAACACAAGCTGTGGATGTGCGCGAGTGAGTATGAGGGGATTACTGTAAGGGAGTAAGATTGTCTCTTACAAACAGTCGAACCCCATTCAGTTCACGAGAGATATCATCGTACGATCACTGAGGGCCTCGGGCACTCTGGATCAATGGAGTCGATGGTCATACATGATGCCCGTGGATATGAGGGAAGCCATGCGGAAACAGCACGGTAGCCCTGCGGATCCCTGCAGCCTCGAGGCTCGCGTACCGTCACATCACGTGAACGTGACACTGCGTAGTGTGATCCCTCGCCTCTCGGAATGCTCTCTGAATCGTCGCATATATCAGCGGGGAGGACATATGCTTCAGTTTCAACGAACGTTCAGCACATACCTCTGTCGCATGGAAGAATCGGTGGGAAGCCGAAGGACGCGGAGCGCTCGACGTCTCGTATTAATTGCCTTGCTACTAGCATGCACATTTCATCTCAGCATCAGGGCCAGACGCGGAGGCTATGTGTGCCTCGAGCAAAACGTAGTCCTCTTATATGTTAAAAGAAGGGACGCCGTATATAGGTGTGGGGAAAGCTGATCACATGTCTTCGAAGGAGCCGGCTAAACTCGTTAGCCAGGTATGTCGGTGTGGAATATCAGCTATGAATGGAAGTGCTTACAAGAACGGCTAGCTTGGCGAGACTAGGTGCTGGTCGCCGTTCAGTTGCTCTTGTTATGTGCGGGATTGTACTCGGAGAGTTACGTCCCCAGGACGTTCTTCAACGGATCGACGATGTGTCTGCGGAACCAACTGCCTCTCTTCTCCGAGGGTGCAGTCACCGTGGGCGGAGGCTCCGGACGAGATCCAGGCGTCGCTGTGCGAGACGGTGGCAATAATGGGTGAGATGCAGGTGCAATCTTGCTGTGCGCATAAGGCGCGATGATGCGAGAGGAATCCGTGTCAAGGTCTCGAGCGAGGCTCTGTTGGGTGGCGATGGGCTTTGTGGGAGACATGGCGTGCGCAGGAGATGGTGTAGGGAGATCTCTCGATACCGAAGAGAGGTGTGAAGGACCAGGGCCATATTGTACAATAGGGTTGTATGAGATGACAGGTTCCGATGATACCCTCGGCGGAGGTATGTGCGTAGGCGTCAGTGGAACTGTCGGCGTGGAGGGAGGAGCATGGGCAGGAGGTGGGGCTGTGCGGGGGGTGTCGTGAAATTTTGAGGAATCCGATCGTACGGAAACTGCGGCCGCTGGATCTAGGGACTTCCCCTGATTTGGGTCAGTCCCAGGAATACGCATATACGAGGGTGAAGACTTCGCGGAACCCCCCCGGCCAAGTGTGGGTGCGACGAGTGGGGAAGTAATGTCATTGGCGACATCTTGACCGGGACCACGCTCTTGGAAAGAAATAGGCAAAGTACGCAGAAGTCCAAGGGCATCGTGTCCCGTGACAGGTGATTTGAATACGACTGCGCTGGAGCCGATCGCGGGAACTATTGGTAGGGTAGAGTCGAAGTCCGCAGAGCTCCTCGAAGGCACAATAGCCTTCCCACCGAAGAATGGAAGGGTGCTTGAAGTCTCCAGCGACGTAGAAGTTGGATGGCGAGCCAAATCAAAGTTTCTTGAATTAAGTGGTTTGTTTCCAGATGACGGAGAAGAGGAATGCAACCGTTTCGAGACGGCTGCCTCGAAAGAATCGACGGGGCTGTGTCGGATGTCTGTGGAAGGAAAACCTCGGCGAGCCAACTCCGCGTCGACCAGGAAGGTTCCGCTGTCGTGCGGAAACAAGCTCGGCCTGGTAATGGCCTCCTCTGCATGGGCACGTGCAGATACTGAACTCCCAATGCGTGGCGATCTCGGTGTGCTAGTGACCAAGTCTAATTGTGCTCCATTGAAGGTTTCCACGAAGGCGATGCTGCTGGCAGACGCGTCCCCACCATCTGGCTTGGATCTCTTTGTGCCAGACGAGGCCAAAGTGATCGTTGATGATCCCATTCTCTGCTTGTGAGAGCGCGGTCTCTTCGGTTTATCGTTAATGTGGCTGCCAGTGCTAACGAAAGTGGTAGTACTGCCAGCAGAAGCACCATCTGTCGTCACTTTCATGGTACAAGAGAATGGTACCTGCAGTCGCGTCAATCAACCGACTCGGAAACAGTTTTAAAGATATCTTTGACTGACCCAAGGTGCTGTGGGTTGAGTAGGACTGCGGGTTTCTGGACACACCAGCCAATCCGCGTCGTCAGAAGACAATGCTTGTTGGAGCAGGTCTTTCCAATCTTCGGCATTCCTAGATTCTACTAGTTTGCTTCTACGCCAGAAAGTCACCGGACTCTTGCTGATGTGTTCATCGACTAGATCCGCAGATTCGAGGTAGCCACGAATATCTGGGGTAAAATAGGTTAATGCATTCTTCCACGAAGGAAA